CAACAGCCCCAGTGGAGCGTGGATTACATCCGGGCGCGCATTCTTGAGGAGGACTTGCGGCGGCGGAGTGTGGAGCGCTCGGAGGAGGGGGCTGGCTATGGAGTTGGAGGTGGAAAGAGTGGCTTCAAGAAGAAGTGGAAGGGCAAGAACAAAGACAACCCTAAGGAGGATGGCGGCGGGGGTCAAGGGGAGGTGTGCTTCTACTGCAAGAAGCGCGGACATCGTTGGCGGAAGTGCTACCAACGACCCAAGGATTGGACCCCGCCTTCATCGAGCAACGAGCATGGTGGCAAGAGGAGTGGGGGAGTCATGGGAGCTAGTGGAGAGGAGGAGAAGGAGGAGAAAGGCGGCAAATCTGAGGAGCGGAAGGCCGGGTTCTTCTTCTTCGTGAACGAAGGCGCAACCGACCTCGCTATGGCTGCCAAGGTTCTCCTACACCCCCTCACCCATTGGGTGATTGACTCGGGATGCTCCTAGCACATGACTCCTCGTGCGGACCTACTCGATGAGATTCAGCCCGCACCCATCTCTACGGTCAGATCCGCGACGGGCGCCAAGGCCAAGGTCATGGGCATGGGATGCGCCAAGTTCATGGGAGCGGATGGAGAGCTCGTGGGGCTGAAGAACGTGCTGTGGGTGCCGGACTTGTGCGCGAACCTGATTTCTACCGGCCGGTTGGGAGATGCAGGTGTGAACACCGAGACGATTGGCTCGGTGCGCTATCGTGCCTACAACGATGAGCGGCTGATTTGGGACCTGCGGCAGAAAGGGGATGTCCACAAGGGCATGTGGCAGATCCCGGTCCTCCCTTGGCGGAAATCGGGCAAGGCGGCAGCAGTGGCATCTATGGAGGAAAGCGTCACCGAGGAGGAGCAGCAGGGTGTGCAAGGAGAGGAGCTGATTGGAGGAAGCGCGGCAATGAAGGCGTCGGCTACCTCGGGCCAAGCGGATTGGGAGACTTGGCATCGGCGGCTCGCACACGTGGCTGTTTCCACATTGGAGGTGATGCACAAGGAGAAGTGCGTGCATGGGCTGCAACTGCAAGGAGATGGCGCTCACTATGGCAGCTGCGAGGCGTGCATGCAAAACAAGTTTGCGCGGTTCCCGTTTCCACGTGCGGAGGGATCGGCGAAGGCACCATTGGAGGTGGTGCACATGGACCTGGTGGGTCCTATGAGGACGGAGGGGACTGGGGGAGTGCTGTACTTCCTCACCATGGTGGACGAATGGAGCCGTTTCACGTGGGCACGTCCCTTGTCCAAGAAGAGCGATGCTGCAGCGGCGATCAAGGAGGATTGGTTGCCGATGGTGGAGCGGCAAGCGATGCGGTTGGTGAAGGTGCTGAGGAGTGATCGTGGTGGGGAGTTCCTTGGAGCGGAATTCACCAAGTTTCTCAAGAGGAACGGCATTCGACACCAGCTGACCTGCCCAGGAACACCGCAGCAGAACGGCATTGCTGAGCGTGCCAACCGGACCATTGGCGAGGCGGCTAAGACTCTGTTGGGGGCTGCTGGGATGCCCTACAAGTTCTGGCCTGAAGCTGTTCGCCATGTCATCACGGTCAAGAACAGGGTCTTGACGCATGTTGGCGACAAGCACTAGGTGCCGTACGAGCGTTGGCTTGGGAAGAAGCCATCCATTGACATGCTGCGGGTGTGGGGCTGCATGGGGCTTGTGATGGTGCCTAAGGAGCAGAGGCACAAGCTGGAAGTTGCTGCTGTGTGGGCTGTCCATCTTGGGATGGCTCCTGACTCGAAGGGGTGGCTGATGTGGGACCCCAAGAGCAAGAAGACGCTGGTCAGCCGTGACGTCAAGTTTGTGGAGGACGTCATGTACAAGGACTGGCAGCAGCAGCAGCAGGTGCAGATTGGCTTGCGTCTGCAGGAGATTGAGCGGTCTGCAGTGGAGGAGGTTCAGCTGCACCTTGATGATCTCCCTGGGTCAGAGCTGACCAGTGACCACAGTGGCGGTGGTGAGCAGCAAGGGGCTGGTCCTGCTGCGGAGGAGGGGTTGGAGGATGAGTCGGCACGTGTGGACTCACCATCTCAGCCCGAGCCTGCTGCAACTGCCAAGGTCACCAAGAGGAGTGTGCAGAAAGGAGCTTCACCACATGGGCAGCAGACTGCAACCCGCGAGAAGAGAGTGGCAGCAGCACCTTCAAGGCTGAAGTATAGCCGTCTGGGAGGACCCAAGCAAGGTGCCATGGCGGTTCAGGCGGATGAGGGAGAGGATGAGGAGATGGCCTTCTGTTTCTTCACACCCTTGCCTGGAGAACCAGCCACAGTGGAGGAGGCACTGAGTGGACCCCAGAAGGAGGAGTGGAAGGCTGCCATGGATGCGGAGTTCAACAGTCTCATTGAGAATGGGACTTGGGAGCTTGTTGAGTTACCCGAGGGGCGACGGCCGATCAGCAGCAAGTGGGTCTTCAAGGTGAAGAGTGGTGCTGATGGTGCGTTGGAGCGGTTCAAGAGCCGCTTGGTCGCCAAGGGGTTTCAGCAGAAGGAGAAGGTCGACTTTGGGGAGATCTTCGCTCCCGTTGCTAAGCCATTGACATTGAGGACTTTGCTGGCTGGCGCAGCTGTGAAGGGATGGCACGTGAAGCAGATGGATATCACCACTGCATTCCTCAATGGAATACTGCTGGAGGATATCTACATGGCGCAGCCCGACGGCTATGAGGATGGGACCAGCAGGGTGTGCAAGCTCAAGAAGGCTATCTATGGCCTTAAGCAAGCGCCTAGGTGCTGGTACGAGAAGCTGGAGGAGGTGCTGCTGAGTGGAGGCTTCAAGACATCCCAGGCGGATCACAGCTTGTTTCTGCTTGGAGAGGGGGAGCAGTTGCTCTTGCTGCTGGTGTATGTCGATGACATACTGCTGTTCTCACCTTCCATGGAGCAGATTGAGAGGACACAGAAGCTGCTGATGGACAACTTCAAGTGCAAGATGCTGGGGGATGTCCACTACTACTTGGGGCTGCAGATTGAGAGGGATGTTGAGAGGAAGTGGCTGAAGGTGCATCAGTCACACTACATCTCTGGTGTCATGGAGCGCTATGGTGTGACTGGGGGTCGCACTGTGATGACGCCGTTTCCTGCGGGCTTCAAGTTGAAGAAGGCAGCTGAGGAGGATGATGTGCTCGAGGATGAGCAATAGAACGAGTACCAGTCACTCATTGGGAGTGTGATGTATGCTGCTGTGCATACAAGAACCGATGCTTCATTCGGAGTGGGGCAGCTAGCCAGAGTTGTGCAGCGGCCCACTGAGGAGCAGTTGGAGGTGGCAAAGCGCTTGGTGCGCTACCTCGGATCAACGGCATCTGCTGGTGTTCAGTTTTCAGCTGGCGGGCAGCTGAAACAGTTTGGAGCAGATGGGATCACGCCTGGAACCTTGAAGCTGTCGTGCTTCACCGACGCCACATGGGCCTCAGAGGAGGAGGATCAGTCATCAGTTGGCGGCTTTGTGTGCATGGTCGGAGGTGGACCAGTGAGCTGGAGGTCCAAGAAGCAGAGTGAGATTGCTCAGTCTTCCGGAGAGGCAGAGTACATGGCGATGTACCATGCCATCAAGGAGATCGTGCTCCTGAGGAAGCTGCTGGAGGACATGGGAGCTGAACAGCAGGGACCTACACCACTTTTCTCTGACAGCGAAGCTGCTATTGGCATGGCCAATAATCCTATCCTGAATGGGCTGAACAAGCACATGAAGATTAAGTGGCACTGGGTGAGGCAGATGGTGAAGGAGGGAGTTGTTGAGCTTCACCATGTGAAGGCTAGCAAGCAGGCGGCAGATTTTCTCACCAAGAGACTTCCCGAGAGCGCACATTGGAAGTGTGCTAAGATGTGTGGCATGGCATTGCACTAGTGTGGGCAGCGGTGTCATGAGTGCATGTGTGTTTGTGTGCATGAGTGTTTGCATGCTTGTGAGTGTGTGTGCATGCAGTCCGTTAGTCTGAGGGGGAGTTTGTTGGATGCACGTCATTCTGAGTGCATGTCATCCTAACGTCCTGCCGAGTGCTCGTGCTATTCATGCGTGCATTGTGTGCATGAGCATAACTCATTATGCATGGCTGTTGGATTTTATCATCTCTGTGTTTTTCTCCAAGTCTACATGCTTTATCATGCAGGAGAAATCCAGAGCTTTCCAACGATACCAAGATCGCCTTATTTCGACCAAGATCGCCCAAGTTACAAGATTTCCAAGTTTTGGGAATTCTATCTCATTTTGAGATATTATCTACATTGGGTGATATTGGGTCATGACTATAAAGGGATCTTTGGTTGGGTGGTTAGGAAGGCAACTTTGACTTTTGGATTGGGGTGGCTAGAAGTTTCTAGCATGGGTTGCAAATGTTGCAACACCTAGGCAAAATCCAACTAGATTGGATTTTGCATGTGACACCTCAAGGACCTCATGATGAGGGTTGCATCCTTGCTGCTAGGAAGGTTCCTACTATCCTTCCCTAGCTCTTGGAGAACCCCTTCCCTCTCATGGTTCTCTTGGAGGTCCCCAACTCCAACTTTCTATGCTTCATGCTTGTACTTCCTCCACCACTCTAGTCATGCAGCAGCTGGACGTTTTCGAATGGTTCTCACTCTCTAGACCATCTTTCTAAGTGATTCAAATTGGAGATGGTAGCTAAGCCTAAGGCGCAACATCCTACCGAGCGGATTTGCGTTTAGTTGAGTAATGAGTTCGTCGTAGCTTCTCGAAGTGACGGATCCTGAACAACACCCCCCCCTCCTTCCTGTTGCTCGCGCTGCCCCCATCCCGGATGCGTCCCGTCCCTCTTAGGCCTGTGAAACAGGGATCACGGGCTCATTTCACCTTTCTCACTTTGCTTTCCTCCTTGTCAACCTGCATCATCTCGGTGCGAGCGTGCGGTCTTCTGAGCAGTAGAGTTTGCGTTCGCGTTTAGTCAGTCCATCATCATAGGGTATCCGCGTGCCCAGTTATTCTAGAACCGCCACACGCTGTAGTGAAGTACGCGTTCTGCCCCCGCCATGGCCGGTCGCGAATTGAAGGCGCTGTTGAACAGTGGCGAGCAGGGCGCCACCTACACTGCTACGATCTCGATCGCTGGCGCCACTGTGGAGCTCCCCCCCGAGCAGAGGAAGTGCTTCTCCGATGATAAGCATCCTTTCACCGCGACCTCATTCGACTTTCTCGCCTGGTAGGTCTTGTGATCATGGGCTTGGTTATATCGCCTTTATTGGGTCACCTCACGTCGTTGTCAGTCTGGTTCGGGTCATCCACAGATGCATGCATCGCGGTCGCGTGTATCATGGTCGCGCGTCAAATCCGTCTGCATACAGATCCGTCCGTGCCTTCCTTTGCCTCCCTGATTCTGATTGCGAAACCATTCATTCCCGTTTGGGTTGTTTCCACATGTATCGCGATAGCCCGGCCGCGATCATTCTGTAACTTTGTTTTCCCATTCCCGTGCAGCGTGGTAGTTCGGAAGTGCGTGTCCCCGTCGCTCCAGGAGGCAATTAAGGTGGTCCTCTCCAATGTTGTCGCGGACATCGTCGCTGGACGCGAGGCCGCGCATGTGGCGTTTGACGGATTGGTTGGATGCAAAATGGTCGCGTTCTGCATCTGGTCCGAGTGAGTACAGCGGGGCTTGTTGTAGGCTGGTTATGTTTTGCGTGCGGGGTTGCAGATGCTTGCTGATGCCTTTCGTCGTGTCTCATGCGATCATGACAGGGAAGTGAGTGACAAGAAGGCCTCCAACGTGGGCATGTTGCTGCTATTGCGCCCGGACCACCTGGGGCTTGACGCGGCCTCAACCTGGAAAACTCGCTTTGTCCGCGTCTGTCACCCAACTGCCGCGGCTGAGCATCTTGCCGCGGTGGACCAGATTGTCAAGTACGTCTGTTGCAGATGTGCTGTTTTTTACGCATGGTTGCTATCTTACGTCAGTTTCTAAGATACGTATATTGAACCGTGCAGGTGGTTCCACGTTCGCGTCTGCCTCTACTACGGGGCCGATTCGGTCCAGTGCGACCGGGCAGGGCAGCTGGGCGAGCCGACGCGCCTCGTGGACCTGGTGAGTTTGTTAGTGTTCGCGGTACATATGTCGAGCTTCTTGTGGCCGCGTTTGTATTCATCGCTGGGTTTAACCCTACATTCCGACCCCCCTGTTTCCTTTCAGGATATTTCATCCTGGAAGGCCCCTTGCGGTCCACTCGCATGTGGGTTCGCGTTCGACCGAGTTCTCAACGACCTCGACGCGGTTGTTGGGCACGAGCATGCTCCTCGCATTGCCAAGCCGATTGCTAGGACGCTGAACACATTGCGGCAGGATGCGAGACGTGCCGCTGAAGAGCTCGCGTTCAGGTCCCGGTGCGGCATCGCAGACGGTCATGGGGGGGATGCCCACGGCAGTGACCGTGAGAGGTCGCACGAATAACCAGCGGGATCTCACGTTTCCGGTCGCGATAACATCGCTCTCAACACGGCTCTTGCGCTCGCGAACACAGAGGAGGGGGACCAGGGGAAACCGGACCCCAAGGAGGAGGGATCAAGCTCTGACCGCGCAGAGGACGCCCATGTGAACGCGCAGGAGGGTGGAGGTGACGAGAATGCAGAGGAGGAGGCGGACGAGGGCGAGGGACACGGTCGCGATCAAGACGAAGGGGATGCCGCGGAGGATGACCAGCGCGGTGAATTGGAGCTCGAGGGTTCGGACGAGATGGACGAAGAGGACGAAGAAGAGGACGAGGAAGAGGAGGAGGAGGTGGAGGAAGTCGCGGCCACCCATGCCGGGCGGCCAATGGGCGCGGTAGCGGGTGCAGGGAAGAGTATTCGCGGTCTGCAGGCTGTGCTGTCCCCCCGCCCCGGGAGCGCGACCCGGGAGTACGCGGGCAAGAGTCCGGTCTTGGGCAAGCGGAAACACTCGGAGCTGGTGAAGATGGCTCCTGAGAAGCTGGCCGCGGAGATCCTCCGTTTGAACCAGCAGCTGGAAAATCAGAAGCGCAAGATGGACGAGGTCGCGTCCGCAGTGCCCGGTGCTCAGTTCGCGGTGGTGATCACGCAGAAGTACGAGGAACTCGAGGCCACAGTGGAGAAGGTGCTAACCCACGTGCAGAACACGGACCGGGTGATTCGCAGGGAAGCCAAGCTGGCCGCGAATGACAGGTCGGAGAATCGCGACATGCGGGAGGTGCTGAAACGCGCGGCGGTCCGACTGGAAGATTGCGCGGGGAGCATGAAGGGGGTGGTTGTGGACTCCATGGAGAAAGCCCAGAAGAAGCTCACGGACGAGGTCGCACGCAAGATCGACGGCGCGTCATCCAACATCGCGGGTACTGCCGAGAAAGCGATCACAAATAGCGGCGTCACGAGCTCCCTCAACATCATCATCACGATGCTTTCCGGGCGTGCATCACAGCCACAGTTTCCCGTTGGAACGGATGGGAAGGTGGTGGACGAGGTCGCGGACAAGGAGGTTGGGAAGAAGGCCGTGGACAAGGAGGTTGGGAAGAAGGTCGTGGACAGGGAGACTGGGAAGAGGGTTGCGGACAAGGAGACAGGTAAGTGTGAGAGCAGCAGGGGTGGGAAGCGGCAAAAAGGGGTCGCGATCCATAGCGTCGTCGACCTTCTTAAGACCAAGGGGGGCGCGGTCGTCGACCATGCTGCAGGGTCCACCAGGGGGGCTGCTGCTGCTGCTGGACAACCGCCTGCGACCTCGGGGGTGGAAGCTGTTAATGGCAAGACCAAGGTTGAGGACGCCCCGCTAAACACCACCCCCACCAACGCGATTGTGCCCGCGTCAGGCAACACGGCCGCGGTCGCGCCAGGACAGCCGGGACCCAGCTCTATCGCCCCTGCCATCCCCCCCTCTGCAGATGTGAAGGCGAAGAATCAGGGCCGCAGTGGTTGTAAGCCTCCTGCAGCCGCGTTGAAGCCTCAACGCGACGACGACGACGACTCGGACGCGGACGATGAGGTTGAGATGGTGCTGCAGAGGTTGTGCGGGCCAGGCGACACCAGCGGCGCAGGCGGCAAGCGCAAGGGCTGTGGTATCCGCCCTCTGCTCAGGGGTGGGGAGGGGATGGTGGGCGAACCGAGGCTGGGGGGGAGACATCGCTGGCTCGGTCATCACTCTCTCCAAGAGGTGCAATATCTGACCGCGATCGCGGTGATGTGTTACGACAAGAAGATAGACCCCGGGCTCAAGCTGACTGCGCAGCAGAAGAGTGAGTGGGCCGAAGACATCTCCGCGGCCGGGACGATGTGCACCATGCTATTCACCACCATGCACCTCCGCAACCTTTGCGGCAATGTTGACAGGTACGTTCAGCTGAGCGCTCATTGGTTTCCCCAGGATGACCTGAACGCGGCCACACTTGTGCCTGACCATGTTGCGTGTTTCCCCATGCTTGCAGGTACCACCACATGTTCAAGACCTACCGCGATCTCACCCGCCGCGGGTCCCCGCTCGGCAACGCGATAGCATGGGCAGCCGCGGTGGGGAAGGAGGCTGCAGATGAGGAGCCCGATGTCACCGGCGCCCAAGTGGGCCTGTTCGCTGGTGCGGTCGCGTGCGCCATCGCGATGGTGTGGGAGACCTGCAACGGCAGCGAAATCGAGTCTGTCGCGGATGCTGGATACTCCGCGGCGCAGCTTGCCGGCACACCAGAGGAAATGGCCCGCGGTCACGCCACGATCGTGACCTCGGTTTTCAATCGGGCCAGGAAGGAGAATGCACGCAAGCAAGCCCCCGAGGTTACACCGAAGCAGATCGCGGGAAAATTGAGACCGCGGTCGTGAACCGTCTCGGTGCGCGACTTGGCGACCCCACAGTGGTCGCTATGGTCGCGCACGAGGCAGTAGACGTGCTGATGACCTGGTGCGACTGCAAGATCGCGGCGAAGGCGATGGAGGCTAACGGCCTCTACCTCGCATTGCCGGAGAAGCGGCTGTCCGCGAAGAAGAGGTCCGGGTGGAGGTGGTAGTTGGAGGTTGTTAACTCTAGATAATAAAGACACCTGTTTGTGTGGTCGCATGAGACTCTTGATGGTGTAGGTAGCTTGCCCACCCTGCTTGAGTTTTTCTCGCGGTGGTCATTCTGTCTATGCTTTGTACTCCCCCCCCCCCCCCCCTTTCTGGCAATTCAACTCTTTTGCTTCTATCGCGGCCAATTTTTTGCGCAAATCCACCATGGGATATGACCTACAATCTCCACTCACAGCGCGGTTGTGTTCGCGCAAGAGCACATAGCGTGGGTAGTATGTAAACGCATATGCGACCACATTAAACGATCATTTTTATATTGAACAAACTGTACAAACCACGCAATTCGACCGCGGTACAATTAGCTCCCGAATTTAGCAGTATGCTCCCTAAACACTTAGGAACACAATCTACACTAATATCACAACGCGAATAGGGTATGACCACCCAATCACGCTAGCAGAGGCATCTGGTCACAGTACTGAGGCCACGCGACCGGAAACTCGGACGCGGGAAGAGAGGCATCGATGAAGCGGTCGCGTACAAGCATCCATTTCACCCGCAACTGCACCTCCGCAGGAGAACCCTTCTTCAGATCGCTCAGGACACGTCAACACTCTTCTTCTTCACCGCGATCCCTTCCGACACACCCGACATGCCCACATCTCGAGACACGAGGTCGAGCTTGTCGAGCACGACCGCGATGTTGTCTCCCTGCTCCACCCTGCGGGAGATGAAGTCCATGACTCGCTTTAGACGGTTTATCGCGTTTTGGGCGGCGTTCAGGCCGCCCTTCTCCTTCCCCATGAGCTCGGCCATTCGCGTAACTGCACCACGGGGTTGGGCCAGGAGCGATTCTGGACTCTCGCCGACCAGCGCGTGCGTGGACTTGTACAGCTTCCATCCGTCCGACGGCTTGGTCGCGTTGACCCATGGTTTCATGATCGCGTCCCGAATTGTCTCTTCCCTGGTCGGCTGTGTTGGTTTCTTACGCGTCCCCTGGTCCGTGGGGGTTGCGGTATTGGTAGGCGCGGCCGCGGCTCCAGAAGTGTTTGTCGGACTCGGATCCGCGGTCGGCCCTGAGCTGCTCACGGTGAGACGCGACAGCTGGGCTTCCAGATCATTCACGCGCTCGTCCTTCGCAGCCAGCTGCCGGTCGCGATCGTCCAGCAGCCCCTCCAGCTCTTTCACCCGTCTCTGGGTCGCGGCCAGCTCTACGCCCAGCCTGGTGTTGTCCGCTTGTGAACGTGTCAGGTACTCAGTGAGGCAGGCCACTTGGTTCTGCGCGTCCATCCTGGTACTGACCTCCTGCATACACAGAACGCGAACGCGGAAAATGTGATATGCACGCATAGACATTACAGCCGAACTTGTAACGCGACCAAACAGTACGCACCGCGGGCTGGGTCAGTGTAGGTGTGTTACGCTGTACTACGGCCAGCTGATTTGCCAATGAGACATCTGCTGCCCACCGCGCAAATTCCTCTGTCTGGCAGAGCGGGTTGTTGACCACGTACGGGTGTCGCGGCTGGTGTATGTAATACATGGCCAGGTCTTGTGCGACCGCCATCCTAGCCTCCCCATCCAGCTCCTTCAGTATGTTTAGACCCGCGGTGTCCTGCTTCTCCGGCTTCCGTGTCCTCGCTGACCATCTTCCGGTTGTAGTCATGGCACTGTGCGACACAACCGCGCGGTCGTTAGAGCGGATCCTGAGGGTTATTTGGAATGATCGCGGTCTTTTGACACTACTGTGCGCGACCCAAACATACCTGTTTCTGTCCTTTGTCCGGTGCGGCCCAGGGGAAAATGTGCTTCCTCAATAGCTTCTCCAGCTCCTCGCTCGGCGGTACAATTGCGCGACCCAGGAAGTAGTCACCATCAACCCCTGTGAAGCCAGCCTTCAGGAGCACGGCCTCCCTCGGAATAGTTGTGAGGTAGTGCTTAGTCATCACGTCGATGAAGCGCCACCCCCCCAGTCTCGCCAGCTGATCGAAGGGCATTCCGTCCGCGGACGCGTGCTGCGCCCCCCCAGCCCTGGGTTTAGGGCGTGTCCTCAACACCAGTAGCAGCTCCACCGTCCGGGTCCCCAGCACCAGCAGGACCTCCACCACCCGGGTCCTCAGCACCAGCAGGAGCTCCAACGTCCGGGTCCTCAGCACCAGCAGCAGCTCCAGCGCAATTGTACCGCCGAGCGGGTCCCCCCCAGCCCCGGACGTTGTACGTGTCCGCGGCCATGCCCCGATGGTGATCCATGTGTTCCCTGCGCAACCAGTTGGACGAGAGTGAGTCTGCAAGTGAAAGCGGTTTAGTTGGACATACGCGTTCAATGAGTATGTATTCTTACGCGATAAACCGCTTGTATTGGTCGTGTACTTGAACGCAGACCCAGATGCGACACTCCGCAAAGTCGCGCAGCAAATTCAGAACGGGCTTCCTGAAGATGGCCCCGTCCAGCTTGATGAGCATGTTCAGAGCCTTGAGACGCCCCATCAGCATTGCAGGGGAGCACTGGCGTCTCTTCTTCAGGGTCTTGTCGGGCCGCTTGAGCGTGGCCATCCTGTCCGCCTGTGCGACCGTCTCGTTCGCGAGGAAGGTCACGTATTTTCGTAAGCGCCACGGATTCGTCTCAGGGCCGTGGAACCACTGCTCGTCGCCCTTCGCCATCTTCCAGTCACTACCCATGTTCTGCTCGAGCGCGGCCCCGATCTCGTCGGGGTTCGCGTTTTTCAACGAGGCCTCCTCACCGAACCTACTCGCGTCCAGTTTTGGCAGCTCGTTCAGAATGAATGAGCTAGCAGTAGCACCGAACCTACTCGCGTCCAGTGCTACCAGCAATAGCTCCAACGTCCGGGTCCTCAGCACCAGCAGCAGTGACACTCTGACACCGAACCTACTCGCGTCCAGTGCTACCAGCAGTAGCTCCAACGTCCGGGTCCTCAGCACCAGCAGCAGCTCCAACGTCAGGGTCCTCAGCACCAGCAGCAGCTCCACCGCCCGGGTCCTCAGCACCAGTAGCAGCTCCACCGTCCGGGTCCCCAGCACCAGCAGGAACTCCACCACCCGGGTCCTCAGCACCAGCAGGAGCTCCAACGTCCGGGTCCTCAGCACCAGCAGCAGCTCCAGCGCCCGGCTCCTCAGCACCAGCAGCAGCTCCAGCGCCCGGCTCCTCAGCACCAGTAGCCCCTGCAGTACCAGGGTCCGCAACACCAGGAGCGCCACTCCGAAGACTGCAGCGTCGCGTGTACCACTCTCGGATCTGCTGAAGGGAGGGGAGCTCCCGGGTAGGAGGGGAAGCACTGGTACCAGCTCCAGCAGCACCTCTCCTGAGGCTGCAGTACTGTAGGTACCTCTCCTGCAGCTGCTGTGAGGAGAGGGCTCCTCCAGGTGTAGCACTCCCAGGCTCAGTACCGCTAGACTCAGCACCTCCAGACTCAGCACCCCCAGGCTCCGCACCCCCAGGCTCCGCACCTCCAGGCTCAGCACCCCCAGGCTCCGCACCCCCAGGCTCAGTACCCTCAGGCTCAGCACCCCCAGGCTCCGCACCCCCAGACTCAGCACCGCCAGGCTCCTCACGCGCAGGCTCAGCACCCCTAGCAGGACGAGAGTCGACAGCTACCTCGACAGGCTCAACCGGGTCTACCTGGGACACACCTGAGGGAGCGGCACCCTAAGGGGGGAGGGGGTCTACCACAGCAGCACCTGGCGCGAGGAAGAGAGGCGGGGGGGGGAGCGGGGCAGTGCGGTAGGGGAAGAGGCGGTAGTAGGGGACGGACTCGTCAAAAGTGACGTCCTGAGAAGGCAGAACCCGGCGCGAGGTGACGTGGTAAAACTGCCAACCAGGCGCGTCCGGGACAAAGCCAAGGAAGACACAAGGAACAGCGCGAGAGGAGAGCTTGTCCGCGGACGTATCGCGAACAAAAGCTCGGGATCCCCAGACCCAAAAACGCGACGCATCGCCAACCTCTCCCGTCCAACGCAGTGTCGGGGAAGTCTCCGGTAAGGAGACACGGGGCCAGAGGTTGAGCTGATGCGCAGCGTATCGGACAGCAAACGGCCACAGGAAGTGGGGGGCAGCCGCATGGATCAAGGAGGTACGAGCGACCTCCATGACCAAGCCAATGCGGCGCTCAGCAACCCCATTCTGCTGTGGAGAGGCCGGAAGCGTGAACGACTGCTCAATGCCGTGCTCCGCACAGTAGGCTGCCATGAGGTCGGAGGAGAACTCACCACCTCTGTCAGAGTGCAAACGCAGGACAGGAAAGTCCGAGCGGAAACGCTCGCTGAGCTGGAGACGAGCTCTGCGGATCCAAGGGATCAAGACATCAGGGACCTCACCCTTGGTACGCAAGGGGAAGACCGTGGTGTAGCGCGAGTAGTCGTCAACAACAATCAGGAAGTACCTCTCCTGACCCTGTCCACGGACGCGGGCTAGGCCCCACACGTCCAGGTGGAGCGTCTGCAAGGGAGCAGTCGTCGGGGGAAAGGAGGAGGAGTGAGGAGCGGCGCGCTGCCGCCCCTCGACACAGGGAAGACAGGAAGGAGCAGGCGAGGGTGGGAGGGGAGGGAGAACCCTGGGAAGACCAGAGACAAGGTGTCGTTTGTGCATGGCACGAAGGCGCTGCACAGACGGGTGACCAAGTCGGTGGTGCCAGAGGACGGTCTCGTGCGCCAGAGAGCGACACGAGCAGGGGGCCGACAGCTGACCTGACGCAGACGCGGACGCAGCTACCTGAGGGGACTCAGTGGTCAGTGTGTACAGGTCCGACCCCGGCTGCCGAGTGAAGGTAGCTAGGTGACGGCCTGTCCGAGCACACGTGCAGTGTGTCACGCGCTCGTAGGCAGGGGTGAACTGGTGAACACCCGCGTCCTGGAGCGCACAGCCCGCCACCAAGTTCGTAGAGAACGAGGGAAGGTGGAGACCTGACAGTGCGCCCGACGGGACCGCAGGACAGGGAAGAACAGTGGAGGAGGTCGCAATGACCGGACCCCCTGAGGGGTCAGC